GGGTCCCGTGTGGGTACAGTTCGGACGCACCAAGAAGCGGCTTGGGTCGGCTCCAAGCTGGACATGAGGAGTCTGCTTCTGGATACTTGTTGATTGAAAAATGTTCTGATCAAGCTCGCTTCCTGCATAAATCCAGTCCCGCTCTATACAGAGGAATTAACAACTTTGAAGTTACAAAATAAAATGAAATAAAATAAAATAAAAATAAAATAAAGAAAAATGTCCCCAAAGGGAAAACTGGAGCTTTGTCCTCCCTCCTACTCCATGCTGACTTCTCTCTGACTGACTGACTGACGCTAAAACTGGTCCTATTGTGTTGACTCTGAAAACTCATGATTGGCTGAAAACAGTCACATGACCTGCCTTCCTATGCACAGTCTTTTACCACTAAAATTGATTAAACACACAGAGGTAGATTGCTTGTGAAGTGATTAAAACAGTACATTATTTCAAATGATTGAGTCATTGTAGAGAATACAATGGGTTCTTTTTATTTTCTCTTTTTTATCAGAATGAGAAATACAGAAAAACATGTGTTCGTGATGTAATTATGAAAACAGTCTTTTGGGAGCGCTCTAAAACCATAAATGAGATTGTATGTAAATGTGCCTTTGAAGCTTGCCTGCGTGTTACATCTCAGCAGGAGATCCGGCCTCAAAGAGGGTTTTCAGGCTGTATAATCCACTTTTGGTAGACTTCAGGTCTGCAGAAACTTTGAGTTCTTTGTGATAAGCGGCCATTTTGAGCACATCAAAGGGGTTCTTACACAGTACTTAATCAATAGGAGGTGGTCACATCCGGTTGCTATCTTACCACTTGTAGATAGTAAACTAAAGGCTTGGAGGTAAATGAATAAGTCATTGTTCTCTTGTAGACATGGGGACGAGGAATGTGTTGGCCAAAGTCTTGAGGACTGACAGTCCATCTAAGTTACTGCTACACAAGAATTTTACCGGAAATACGTCATTAATGACCGTGACATATAGYATATTTTAGAATCTGAATAGTGAATGTAGTTTTTGAGATACATTTTTTTCACTAGACTGGAATTAAACAAGGAATGCAATTAAGCCTTGTGTTTTTTGTGCAAGATTTTCAAGAGGAAAGGGCTTCAACTGTGTAGAAGTACAACACTAGATTTTTGTTTAATTTTTATGTTTTGTTTTTTGTCTAAAAGTGGCGCATAATAACGGATTAAACATGATGACATACCTTTGAAAGTGTGGAAATATGTAGGGGAGAGGGTAGAGAGGCTTTTGCTTTGCTTATTCATTGGAATTTTTAAGATTGAGAAAAAGGTATGAGAAATAGAGAAGCATGCTGAAGTCAGTTTTTAAAACATGAGTGATGTACAGAATTGCAGCAAATACAGAGGGCAATTAAGTTGATGAACCACATGATGATGATCTGGAAGAAAATTGTGAAAATTGCAGTTGGAGGTGTATCGAAAGGTTCAGAATGAATTTCATTATGTCTTCATTCTAGATGACTGAAACACACTAGCTTACATATAAGCCTGTTTTTGTTTTAAATGTGTTCAAAGAACAATAGGAAGAAATCCAAAACTGTTTTAAAACAAACATGAGCAGAGTAAAAAAACTGACATTTTATTTAAAACATTTTGTACGTAAAAAAATTAATTAGAAATTTGACATCTAATTTTCAACCATTTGATATTTATAAAAATCTATTTTTGTTCATTAAATACTTCTTGGAGTTCTTCTCTGGCTGAAATAATATGATGAAACACTTTGGAACAAATATACACAGTATCAGTCCAAAACTGGAGGCCAGGATGGCAAATATCTCCACAGCCACAGTAAATTTTCCAGGAGAGCTGACATATGCTGGGATGAAGGTGATCCACACTGCACAGAATATCAGCATGCTGAAGGTTATCAGCTTGGCTTCATTAAAATTATCAGGTAGTTTCCGAGCTAGAACAGCTAACACAAAGCAAAAAACAGCCAGCAGGCCAATGTAGCCGAGCACAGCCCAGAAGCCAACAGCAGAGCCTAAAGCACATTCCAGGATGATCTTCTCCTTGTATGTGCTCAGGTTTTTCATTGGGAAAGGAGGACTGAGTAACAACCAAACAGTACAAATTAAAACTTGAATAATAGTAAGACATACAACACTCATCCTTTGTTGTGGAGGCCCAAACCATTTCATAGCATTACTACCTGGAAGTGTAGATTTAAAGGCCATTAAAACCACTATAGTTTTCCCAAGAACACAGGAGATACAAAGAACAAATATTATGCTAAACGCTGTGTGTCTCAGCATGCAGGACCACTCAGAGGGAGCTCCAATGAAAGTTAATGAACATAAGAAACACAGAGTCAGAGAGAAGAGCAGCAAGAAGCTCAGCTCAGAGTTGTTGGCTTTAACAACTGGAGTTGTTCTGTGACGTAAAAAAATAGCTGCTGTTATTATGGCCAGACAGGCTCCAAAAACAGAGAATGCAGCCAGGATGATTGCCAGGACTTCATCATATGACAAATATTCTACAAGTTTGGGAAAACAAACATCCTTTTCTGAATTAGGCCAGAATTCTTTATGGCATGGGAAGCAATCAGAAGAATCTAAAAAGTTAAATAATGAAGTGTCATTAGCTGTGAAATTTTTAAAATGCAACTATGAATATAAGTAATTTGATGTTACCTGTCATGTTACTAATCTCTCCTTCAGGACACGGTGTACAATTATAGCAGCAAATGGGTTTTCCTTTCTGCAACACTTTATGAGTTCCTGGAGAACAACTTTCAGAGCACACTGACACTGGTACCTGGAATACAGACAAAATATTTACTTCCGTCATTTTGAATGTGGCTATAATTAATAATTTAAAACACTTGTTTTCATTAAATTTATCATAATTAATTTACCCATGTAGCACCCCCCACCCAGGTTATGTTCCTGTTGATATGGAACTCCTGGCCCTTAGGCAGTGCTGCATCATAATATCCTACTGTTACCAGTTCAATAACTCCACTCTCACTCTTTTGCCAGTTGACCAGCTCATAAAAAGCCACAGGATCCCCATTAACATCAAATGACACAGGATAACCATTTTGGGAAATGTTAACTTTCCTCAGTTCAGTCAAAACCTGTGAAATAGCAGATATACAGAGAGGTTTTTTTTAAATCCTCTATAATTATTTTTCTTTTTTATTTATTGATTTTCACCAACCTGTTTGGACTCTAGTCTTACACCTTTGTCACACCTAGTAGTACCATTAGTTTCCTCACACACTGCATTGTGAATGGCATGAGCAACTGCATAAACAGCCTTGTACACCATGTTAGTTATTCTCAGCTGAGAAGTTTCAGTGTACGGGCTTTTAAGAAATTTTATATCTTGTGTTCCATCACAGACTTTCTTGTTTGGATCATCATCTACCAAAACATAAAGACAGAAACATATTAATCCAACCCATTCTCACTCCCAAGTCGTCACATATTGACGCGTTTCCAAGGTTCCCTCTACGTCCGATTTTGACGCGCAGGGTACCCCCGTCACGTCAGTTACTGACGAGATGGGGCGAAATCTGTTGTCATATTTTCAGAAAGTGTATAAAATGCGCGAAAATGACCGTTCCAAAGCCTGAAATTAACTTTGTTCACTTTAGACATCCTGTCCCTGACCGTAGTACGTAAAATTAACCATTTTTAGAAAATGTAGAAATTCACGTCAACATGTTCTAAAGCGTAAAATGACCAAATATTCACCATGGACATCCTACCCCTGATCCCAGTACCTAAACTTAACCATTAATCCTGATCCCTCATGTTAACCTCAGACCCCCGACCCAAAGACCCCTGGTGGCGCAACCCGGAAAAGCCGCGGGCGTCAAGGACTGACACGAGGGGGGCACCTGATGCGTCAAAATACGACGCAGAGGGAACCTTTGGAAAAGCGTCAATATGTGACGACTTGGGAGTGAGAATGTGTAGATTAATCTTTTAAAGACAAATACACATATAAATTTATTTTTCAAAGTAATTTAGTGTTCTTTTTTTTGTTTTTTTTGCAATTGCATTTGTCTGGCTATAAAGCAGAGGGCAGTTTCATAACTGTTTAAACAACAACAACAAAAAAAGAAGAAAGAAAATACAACCTAGCTTTACATTAAATGGAGTTTACTGAGCACCTGGGTTTCCCTAACAGCACAAAAGTATGTACAATAGGTTTCCTTCAGGCACAGGTCGACCTTGCAAAAGAGATCTATCTAAATGGGATTTGACTGGTTAAACAATGGTAAAATAAATAATTAATAAATCCTCACTTATTTTTAAGCTGCAGTTGAATGAGTCCTCCCAGAACTCAGTAAGCACTGAAGAGGCTGCCACTTCAGCAGGAGAGAGATCCAGCAAAAAATCTCTGAGCCCTGGGATGACAGATTTCTGAATGGCAACTCCAATGGTTCCTGCACAGAAACTGAATTTCAAAAAGTTTGGGTCAGTTACCCAGCCCTCACTTCCTATCCACTGACGAGGTGGAGGATCATGAGCCAGCTCCTCTAGCAGGACACTCATATCTCCAGAGGCTGTAAAAGCTACAACAACCATTGCAGTTGATCTGGAAAGACATTAGAATTTGTTCAAGATACTACTGTAATCAAGATATTTTGTGACCTATTGTTAGAACAATCATAAGTAAAGTTGATTATGGCATAATATAGTGGTAGGTGCTTTAAATGTGTATGAATAAACACAACATCAAAACACAATAAACATGTAAACAGTGCTCCTGTTGTGCATGATGTTTAAAATCATACAAGACAGAAAAATAAGTAAGATTCAGAAACCTGCGAATGACATCTGCTACTCTCCTGATTTTAGCACTTGGGTCAGTTCGAAAGAAAGATTCAGAGTACTCTACACATATGCCCTCTCTGTGTACTGCTTCAAGAAACGATGCCATTCCATAATTTCCATAATCAGAGTCAGAATAAACAGTACCAATCCAAGTCCAGCCAAAGTGTTTCACCAGCTTGGCCAGAGCATCAGCTTGGAACTGATCACTGGGAATTGTTCTGAAAAAAGTTGGAAACTGCTGCTTATCTGACAGACAGGCACATGTGGCGTAATGGCTTACCTAAAAAAGAAAAGAAAAAAAGATAAGAAAAAACATATATATGACATTTTAATTTAACTAAAACACAGATTTCAGTTTGCAATTTTTAAACTAGTCACCAGAGGGATGTTAAAAGAACCAATGATGCGTGCCATGCTGATGGATGGTGTGGAACCATCATCTCCAACAACAGCCATAACAGCACCAGATTGGGAACAATTACTGCCTCTGTAAAACACAGGGTCTTGACCATTTGTCATTTGAAATGCCATATGTGCAGACACTGGTGCTGAAATACACGAGTCATAGATTTGATATCCAAGTTTGATCCCTGGCAGCAGCTCTGAGCTGTTGTTAATTTCCTCAATGGCAAAGATCATTGCACGAGCAAAACGCAAACCCCGAGCATTAAACCTGCACAATAGAAAGGATGCTGACATTTACAGAAAATAGGAAATGTTCACAAGAAATAAAGACATTTGAGCAAATAGAAATAATGCTTTAGAACCAACCAATGCACCAATTGCAACAATTTATATTATATTCATAAGTTGTCTAAGTAATTGGTTTAAAAATATAACATTTACCTTAAATAGAAAATCATTGACATTTACAACTATGTTTATTTTAATATTTACACTTAGAAAACTTTCATTTTCCTTATTTTCTATAAAGTGGTAGTTATTTGACACAACATGGTAATGTAAAGTTCCAAGTTTTGCTTATTGCACCATTTTTTTCCAACTTCATTGTAAATTTTATGAAAATGTATCCAATTACACACATAAAACAATACTTTCTGCCATTTTCCCTTTTTACTAACCTTCCTGTGCACCTTGGAGGCTCAGGCTTCTTGGTGTAGTTATAAATCACTGCATCCTGTGTGTAGTGTAAGGAAAAAGCACCTCCAACAACAAAGTCCCCGCTCATCAACAATGCAGTGAAGCGAGGGGTGCCCTGTAGGTCACATTTCATTGACGAAGCTTCATTATTGACATCAGCAGCAGTAATATAACCTAATGACTCAATGTTTTGTTTCAGACTGTTTACCGACCCACCCAAGAAAGAAACTGATATCAGCTCCAATAAAACCAAGACTAATTTCAAACCTACAAATACAACCCAGTTCTCCATTCCTCGTGTCGATAGTAATCGGGTGTAGGTTTGGCTTTACCTGTTTATAAACCTCATTGATTGCTTGCGTCAGTGGGTGCACCCTCCTTCATGCACTATCCTAGTGGTCGTTAATCATGATTTTCATTGCTTTACAACTTTTTCATGTATTTTCTTTTTCCTATGCCATATTTTAAAGGCATCTTTATGTGAATCTGGAATGATTCCCCATATTTTACATTTTATTACTTTTTTAATTTATTACCAGATATCCACCTTACATCACCACTTCTTATGAATTATACTAAGGGCAACTGTATTTCTTATTTTCCCCCATTTTTTAAGGATTTTGTTTCACATGAAGGACCTTTCCTAATTCTAAACAGGGAGCAAGATGGCGCCAGTTTCAGAGGAAGATTTCCACCTCTGTTAGTTTGCTGCTCACTCACTCTTGCAAAGTTCCAGATGCAATAAGCAAGAAAAAAGGATCTAGAGCTGGTGTTTAAGGCTGTACTGTAGACATGACTGAGAAGTAAGGAGTTTCTCCCTGACTTCAGTCTCTACCTGTAGTATCCAGCAGGGAGTCTGACACATCATCTAATGCCTGGCCAGCGTCGACCACCACCTGCTAACCATAAATCAGTCAGTTTGCATAGATGGAGATCTTCATGTTTGTCATTGGGTATCTTCTTGTTATGACTCGAGTGGAGCAGAAGAATAATCGACCGCAAGAATAAAGTCAATTAATAATATTTATTGATACATAAACAGGAGAATCTCATCCATCTGCTGTCAATTCAACAACCACCAACCCGATTTTAACACCCCTAAGGCAGACAAACCCACAAAACTTAACGCAACCAATGTTCACTACAAACTTATACTGCAGACTTTGTTCATTGCAGAAATACTACATGCAATACACTCAAGGTAATGGTGGATTCACACCGAACACGTTTTGAGCTGCAGGAGCAGCCAGTTTACATGCAAAGTCTATGGCGGACCCGTCTCTAGGGGTCGTGTGTCACGTCACGTCCATTTTGCGTAGCGCGCAAGGAACGCGGAAGGGGCAGCAGAGCGTTTTCCGTGCATGCAGTGCGTTGAAAGCAGCCGACGCCTGAGTTCAAAATTCTGAACTTACGCCGCTCGACGCATCTTGTTAACCAATCAGAGACTCAGTTTTCCACGTGACAGTTTCCTGAATGTTGCCCACTAAACCGTAACAGACCGATAGGAGCTCTTTATCTGAATCGACCGTCTGTAGTTGATGTTCTGGCTGGAGATATTAGCACCGATGTGGTTCAGCCATAGTCTTGAATAATATCACTAGACTGAGCCCCGCCCATACCGTCCACTGGTAGCGTCTGTGACAGCATGGAGGAGCAGAAACAGAGACCAAACAGGACAACAGCTCACAGCCTCCATAGAAATTAATAGATAAACAGCAGCTGAACTGGATCTGTTTCACAGATTATCTGTCATATTTTTACAATATATTAATAATTATGTTAATTTCATTCACCAATCATGTAAAACAGCAGATTTATACCAGAAAAATATATAATTGTTACTTATAAGTAACAATGATCTAAACCAGACCTGAAGTCAGCCTGTAACTTAGACTTTAGCTAGTTGAAAATTATGATTGTAGCTAGTAACAAAGTATATTTAATATTTCTTCTTACTGTCATTAAAAAGGAATATTTATATTTACCAGTCAACAGTTAGAAAATGTTCTCTGGTTATGGGATTAAACTTGTCTCTATTAGCTAACATCTTCTTAACAAGTCAGGTTCCTCTAACCGAAACCTAAAAATACTTACATTTATAATATTATTTTACACTCTGTAGGTCTAAATATTAATCAGAGGACAAAGTAATATTTAATAGTTTGTGTTAAATTGTAGCATGATTCAACAATGCTAAACTCTGTATACATGCTCCACAACCTAATATCTGCTAACCAGTTCAATGAATAACAGTGATTACATCGACTTTATAAGATTATTTTAATTTTAAACTGTTACATTATGTTCTGCTCAGATCACATTGAGCTAAATAAGATCAAATCTGCTGACTTGTGTTGTGAAATGAGACGTTTTCCTGTTTKTCTTCTGTTAATAAATCCATAACACAAACAGCTTTTCTGGCTTTGTTTGAAACATTAGATAGATTATATAAACTGTAAAATATTAAAAATAATTGGATTAATATTATTATTAATAGTTTTTTATGATTTCTACATCGTCAGTCCTTTTTTTCTGCTCTGTTACCAACGCACAGTAATGGGAAATCCAGACTCTTGCCTGTTTTGCGTTAGCCATTAGCTTCACCAGCTGATCACACGGTCACATGGTTTCTGTGCACTCCAGCTGTTCTATAGAACCTCCTTGGGTTCAGCAGCTCGTACTGGGCTCGGGACAAAAAATTGTCTGTCAGCTCGCATTTCCTGGAGTGGCGAAACTAACCGAACAAATCGCCTCTAAATCCTGTGGTGAATTAATTATCTTATGTGCGCAACGTTCCCTTGCTCTTTAGTAAATAACGCAAAGCCATTTTCTTTATTTTATCTTTATTTCATCTGCCAAACACAGACCGGAATAAAACCAAGATGCTCCTCCCTCTTCAGACGCGCATCTGCTCTGTGTCCCGGTCTGAACATAGTGCGTCCAGCTGGAGGCGTTGGGAGCTTTTTTGCTGCTCAAAACACATTCGGTGTGAACGTAGCATAACACTTCAATGAAGATCGGGTCTCAGATGTTTAAGATTAACAGGGATGTGGAATGTTAATATGGGGATGTGACCCAAAGAAATAAAACATGAAACAACCAAAAGAAAATTGTTAGTCCGCCCTAACAAAAATACTAAGGAAAAACAAAACACAAACCAAAAGCTAGATGGAACCAACAACTAAAAAAAAAAAAACTCTAAAGGACAGCAGGAAGCAGTGACAGAASTGTAAAAACACAAAATACAAAAATTATGAAACACTTATGAGAACACTTTAATCAAGTCAATCTAAAACAATTTAAAACACTTCATACTTGCGTTGCATAAGCCAACACTTGAGAAAACACTTGAATCCCGAAGGATCAAATGCAGCTCTATCTAATAACAAAACAATGTATAAAAACAAAAATATACACTGCAATATAAGTAACACAAAAATCTATCGCCTACCTGCAGCGTTGAACAGCCACAATCGGAACATCACTAACTGTGTGACCCTGCATAAAAACACCACATTACCACATGTTAAATTATTAAAACAATCAAATAAAACAGTTTTCCTCCAAACCTATCACAATCGCCGAACAATGGAATGTGTGGGCCCACACACACCTGGTCACACACCCACAGGAAAATGACACTTCCTCACAGCCCCGCCAGCTTCCTCTTTATTGGAGCTTAGACTAAGGAAGTTGCAACACCTTGTGGAGCCACCTTTTACGTTCTTGTCACAAACATTGTTTCAATGTGTACTGTTTAATCTGCATGCCGCCATCAGCTAATGAAAGAACTGATGAGCTGTCATCATTGTGCATGGCCCTCCTGCATGGCGCTCCATCAGCAACAAGTCTTTTTCCTTGAATGAACTTGTTACGAAGGAGTCCCTTGACTTTATGTTTTTAACTGAAACATGGCAGTAAAGCTTGGATTATGTTCATCTGAAGGAACTCTGTCCATGAAACTGTTCTGTGCTCGTGACACCCTGGGAAGCACACTGAGGTGGTGGATTAGAGATTAGATTAGATTAGAGAGACCTTTATTGTCATTGTACAGAGCACAATGAAATTACAGTTCAGAACATCCATTCAGAAGAAGACAGAACAAACATAGAAGAACAGGTGCCCTGGGTCATGTAACCACAGACCCCAGCACAGAGCAAGGATCATCTTCATGAAGACATCACGAGGAGGCACTACACTTAACAGAAAAACTAAAAACCACACAAGGGAAGATGAGGGGGAAAAAAAACAAAAACATCATATTATATCAACACTGTGAAACACTATGGTGTTAATAAAAAAAACCTTCTGCAAAGAGCAGATTTATTAGCCAGATGAGTAAGTGAGTTTAGGGGTGCGTGTATCTGAAGCCATGAGTGTTGTATGCCTGTGTGAATATCTGAAGAATGAGCCCAAAGAATCAAGTCCCCAAAACCAGTGCAGCCACAGTTCAGTGCGGCCTTCAGCCTGCTCCAGGAACCAGATGGGGCAGAGCCTTGTCGACGTAATCCAACCAGGAAGAATTTAGTCAACAGATCAAGGCCATGTAGGGGAGAGCCGAATCTGTAATCAGTTGTTTTGGGAACAGAAGAGTCAGGCAGATGAAAACAATTTTGCATCTGCTTCAGTGTCTGCTGATACATATCAAGGTGACGAATCCAATCAGGAAAATAGTGTGGACAATTCCGCTGAGCCGAGCTATCAGCTTTTCCTAGATCAATTCCATCTGGCCAGCAAAGTCCAGGGACCACAGTCGGCCCGCGAGCCTCCACAGAATCGCTTGCAGACCGAGTCCAGCTCGCTCAAGGCAAATGTCCGAGTGCTGATAGTATGGCCATCCATCAAATTGGTCAGTCAGCCAGGAGATGAAAAGCCACCGATGTTGTTTTGTAGAACACCAGGAGACCACCAAGCCAATCTGTAGAATCCAATGATTGGAGTCCAGATATATAACCAGAACAGAGAAGAACAGAGGTCCCACCTTTCACATGTCCTCCCATGGAAGAAGAAAAAACTTTGCTCCAATAATTTTATTAAGAGACCAGCTAACCAAATCCATAAAAATAAAAATTTCCATCATTTCTGGTTTCGGATTAAAAATGTAGAGAAGGCTCCAAGCAGCAAAGCAAGGAAGGAAGTAAGGAAGGGCAGGAGAGAAGGAAAAACCAAGAGCAGAACAAAAAAAATCAGCAGCTGTATTTAAAGATAGTTTTTTCCTGCAGACTTGTTAATTCAGCCTCCTTCTCTGCATTTGACCTACAAATAATCAACACTGGCTCTTTGAAAGTATTTTACTGTATTTTACAGTTTTTATTGACTGGTTTGACCTGTTTGAAGGAACTGGGAACCTCTCAGTCTTCATTATCACCATCTCAGCAGAGCAGAAGACACCTCTTGCAATGTGTTAACCCATTCTCATTGGATTGAGATAGTTGTCCACCCTTTTGAAAAACAGTTAACGCAGATGTCATTCAGTAAGTCCCAACTTCCTTTTATCTGTCAGTATGAAACACCGAAAGCACCTGTTTGACATTTCTTCACAGATTTTTTCAATTTGCAATCAGTCTACAGGCCTGTGTTGTTCTCTTGTACTCAAGTAATGTTGTGGTTTTTTTCCTCATCTGTCCTTGTGTGGTTTTTAGTTTTTTAGGAGGGTTGCACCTCATTATGTCTTCATGAAGATGATCCTTGCTCTGAGCAGGGTTTGTTCAGTGGCAGCATGACCTAGAGCAGTGGTTCCCAAACTTTTTATCTTCTGACCCACAAATTATCCAAGGTAAAAACTTGTGACCCCAAATATTACTGATCTTAGTACACATACATCATTAATAACCCTAAAAACACAGGTTTTTGACAATCTACACAGCTTGTACACAAATATAAATACTTGTTTATACTTATTTAGTGTTTTGGTAATAGTTATAAGGAAAATATTACATCAGCAATTATTTTATTACCCTTTAAATTGATTTCTGGATATTATCCAAGGTGCTTCATGACCCATAATTGGGTCCCAAGCCCAACTTTGGGAACCAAAGTGCAGTGGTTCCCAAACTTTTCAGCTTTTGACCCACAAAATAACAGTAGCAGAGACCTGTGCCCCCAACTATTTTTGGATGATAAACATTTGTATCAGGTCAACTAAGCATGGGCACAGTAACAATATTTTTATGCTACATTTATCCATTTTAAATACACTAACCTCACTTCTTTGTAACAACTACGGCAAAAATGTAATTAATTCCGAAAATCTTTTCAGGACCCCACCTTGATGTTTCGGGACCCCACTTTGGGTCCCGACCCCAACTTTGGGAAACAATGACCTAGAGTACCTATTCTCCTATGTTTGTCATGTTCTGTCTTCTTCTGAATGGGTGTTCTGAACTGTAATTTCATTATGCTCTGTACAATGACAATAAAGTTCTAATCTAAAGACCTACTATAGATTTTTGTTCTTTACTGTAAAAGACTGTGTTTTTTATTTACCTAATTTCTCACACAGTAAATGATTTTATTTTTATTTCCATGTATTCTCTGTTGGAATACAGTTTTTATTGATTGTTTTGAGATGGTGATGAGCTTCTTCAAACAGGTCAAAGCAATCAGTAAAAACTGTATTTCATTTGTCAGGCACAGTCTGAAAAAAAGAATGTAATCAATAAAATTTGCATCAGAGCATACTGTATCTGCTTCTGGATGCATTTTTTGCAAGAGGGCAAAATTGACTACAAACAACACTGGCATGTAAGCTACGTACAGTCAGAGTCTACAATGACAAGCAATGGTGCACTGATTCACACGATTGCTGTATTTTGTATTTTGTTGCCCATTGTGTACTGATTGAATGGAGGTGTTCTCACTGTGTCAAAGTTGAGTTGTTTGAAGGCAAAATTTGCTTTTGTTCCATATTTTAAATGTTTTGACATAGTTGTTGCCTTTTGCAAACAAAATGTGTCATTTTGACCACTGTGTCTATGTTTAGGCCTCTGCGTTAAGTGTTTTGAAAATGTGGTTTTTGAGTTGACGGCTGTGTCATACCAGTCACTAAAAACTGTAAAGTACCGTTCTGCAGGTGCAGCCATTTTTATCTGTATTCACTGAGCTTTTGTCTTTTATCATTAAGCTGGAGAACAACAAGTGTCCACTTTACGGACACTTTTCAGTCAGGGTTTCACAAATTGCACTAAATTAAAAGTTTCTAGTGACTTGTTGATGGCAGCTGACTCTAGAAACTACATGGTGCAGGTTTTATTGGACTTCAGCCTTATACACCATGGTTCACACTGTTCTTATGAACAGACTGAGAGATGTGTTTGGTATTTCCGGCTCTGTGTTAAACTGGTTGACCTCTTATTTATCTGAAAGGTCTTTTACTGTTTTTATGAATCATGTTTACTCTGATGATGCGCCACTGTCTTGTGGGGTACCCCAAAGTTCGGTTTTAGGCCAAATCCTCTTATAATTATATTTATACACTTTAGGAGATAATTTAAAATGTTACAGTAACATGTCATATAATCTGTATGCTTATTGCACTCAAAGCCAATGGTTCAGTTGGTAGAGCTTATGCCTCTCAGCAAAAAAGTCACCAGATCAAATCTCAGCTCAGAGAGCTTTTTTTTGGGTAGAATTTCCATGTACTCTCTGTGGATGCATGGGTTCTAGCTTTCTCCCACAGACAAAAAACATGGCTGTTTAACTGGTAACTCTAATTGTCCCCTGGTGTGAGTGAGAGCGTGAACGGTTGCCTGTCTTGTTTGTCTCTATGTGTGGCCCTGAGATGGTCTTGCAACCTGCCCAGGGTGTGCCCTGCCCCTCGCACAGTGACTGCTGTATATGGGCACCAGTGACCCCTGTGACTCTGAATGGATGGATGGATGAATGTCTTGAAAATATACAGGGAGAAGGTGAATTTAAGCATTAAATAACAAGCCTTAAGGTAAAGTATTAAATATACCTTCAATAGTTTTGTTTATTCAACATGTCATTTCTGAAAAACATCAATAAAATAAGATTACATGACTACAAAAGCAGCAATACAGAAAGCTGATAGTCCTAAATGATCAATTTAGCTAAAGATTGGGATTACAGAAGTTTCCCAAAATTAGTAAAATTGTATTGGTAATATTATATTTACTATCAAATCATACAAATTTTGACACCTAAATTCCAGAGGATTTGATAATTAAGAAACTAATTTTTGTTCATTAAATATTTCTTTGAATTTTTTTCTGGCTGAAATACTATGATGAAACACTTTGGAGCAAATATACACAGTATCAGTCCAAAACTGGAGGCCAGGATGGCAAATATCTCCACAGCCACAGTAAATTTTCCAGGAGAGCTGACATATGCTGGGATGAAGGTGATCCACACTGCACAGAATATCAGCATGCTGAAGG